CCTCGGTTGATGAGAAAACTTCACTGGTCATGGTTGCTCTACTACCATTGCTTCTTCCCCGCCACTCATTCCTTATGACACTGAAGGGGCTTGTGCACAAAAGCTCTTACAGGGTATCTCATGAATCCTAACTTTATATGAGAAGGGAGAGACTCTTCATCAATGAACAGTAGCATGGATTAAATTAATTTATTTTCTCCGTCCATCATACAGGTCAGTCGACGTGCACCAACCACTCCATCGATGTCTTCAGTTATTTCCTCTGCCTTTATTTCTTGCGCCACCCCAGAAATAACCCCCTTGATAGGCGCCCTGCTACAAAAATCCATGCAGGAAACATTCCACTCCGATATCTTTTTGAGTCTTAAAACACACTTCTTCTTCCCTGCAGACACACAAAAAAATGAAATAAGACCACTTCTTGTGACTCTTACTGACTCCACACTTTCCTCCAACACATTCCAGATTTTCCTGGAGACGTTAAACGGATTTCCCAAGTAGCATTGATCCAAAACCCTGACTCCGACCAAAAACGAGTCTAGTGGTTTCCTATTTTCCAACATAGCTTTACTTCTCTCGTTTCCCTTTTTCTTCGCCACTGTAACCCACTCATTCTCACTTTCTGTACTATTAGCTTCACTCGACTCATTAGCAGTTTCAAACAAAACCTCAGTTTCCGCCATCTTCCGTCCTACCAATCAATCAATCAATCAAATGTATTTATAAAGCCCTTTTTACATCAGCAGATGTCACAAAGTGCTATACAGAAACCCAGCCTAAAACCCCAAACAGTAAGCAATGCAGATGTAGAAGCACGGTGGCTAGGAAAAACTCCCTAGAAAGACAGAAACCTAGGAAGAAAGCTAGAGAGGAACCAGGCTCTGAGGGGTGGCCAGTCCCCTTCTGACTGTGCCGGGTGGAGATTATAACAGTACATGCCATTAAGGCCAGATATGATGTACAACTCCCTTATACTTTGCTTGAGAAAATAAATAAACAAATACCCTACCATCTAACACTACACTCACCCAAAAAGTTTATAATAACAAATAACACCACCCTACTCCACTATTTAAATCTATGTATTCCTACTTCAGGCCAACAGCCTGAAAGGATGGGGCACCACCACTTAACACACCCTGTAACTCTTCTGATATCAAGTCTCACACACCCAAATACCTCTCTGCAGCTGCCACCACAAACTCAATTTTCTGCGACTTACATTTCATCCCTGCAGTACAGTTGATAACCATTGCTATAAATGCTAAAAATCCAATCTTACTGAAACATATTTCACTTGTTAGCCTATCCCTCTGTACTGGTACAGATCTACTACTCACACCACTCCTCTCAGGATCCCTCCCCCTTGACCCATCTTCCTCTACTTTCTTCACTGCCTCAGCATGACAACTTCTGCACTACTCTAACCCTGGAAACCTCAACCTGCCTCTCTCGCACCGGACATTTCTGATCCCCAGCCCCATGGGCACCCCTACAATTAACACATACCACTACTTTCCCCAATGCTACACATTCCTTTCTCATGCCCTTCTGCACACTAGGAACCTCCCTCCTACACACTGCTGCCCATAAGCTTGACACCTGTAACAACGTAATGTATTCTGCACAAAAGCTCGTACAGGATAATTGTATATCCTAACATCACTTTGTCGGGCAAAGAACATACAATGACTATTCTGTTTCACCACTCACGCCACCCTGTCTGCGTTGCACCAAATGAGGAGCATCACAAACACCGGGAATCTTAACTTTCAGTTGGTCAACTTTTACATTTACTGCTACCCCAGTTATCACTCCATTCAATGGCATCCTTTTCTTGAGAGCAAAACACTTCATATCTCTTGCCCCCATTCGTTTAATGAGGAGCACCTGCTCCCTCTGACCAGCAGAAACACAAACAACTATTACAAGACCACATCTGGTTACCCTCACCGATTCCACAGCACCCAACTCTGTTTTCACCCACCCTGAAACCACAAATGGATCAGCAAAAAGGCAAGGGTCCACTCTTTCCCAAAACATCACTCCTACTGTCACAGACTCATCTTTATCCTGACCATCGGTGCAAGCCTTGGGCTCCAAGAACTTCACCACACCTACCACCTCCCATACTTCGCCCTCATTCACGTCCACTTCTCCTCCTGTCTTCAGCTGACTCTGCTTACACTTTTTCCCATTCTTCTTTAATAAACCATCTCCCCTTTTCCTGCCATTTTTAACCGACTCAAGCTCACCCTCTTCCTCCCTCTCAATTCAATTTCAATTTCAATTCAATTTAAGGGCTTTATTGGCATGGGAAACATATGTTAACATTGCCAAAGCAAGTGAAATAGATAATAAACAAAAGTGAAATGAACAATAAACATTAACAGTAAACATTACACTCACAAAAGTTCAAAAAGAATAAAGACATTTCAAATGTCATATTATGTCTATATACAGTGTTGTAACGATGTGCAAATAGTTAAAGTACAAATGGGAAAATACATAAATATGGGTTGTATTTACAATGGTGTTTGTTCTTCACTGGTTGCCCTTTTCTTGTGGCAACAGGTCACAAATCTTGCTGCTGTGATGGCACACTGTGGTATTTCACCCAATAGATATGGGAGTTTATCAAGATTGGATTTGTTTTCAAATTCTTTGTGGGTCTGTGTAATCTGAGGGAAATATGTGTCTCTAATTTGGTCATACATTTGGCAGGAGGTTAGGAAGTGCAGCTCAGTTTCCACCTCTCTCTCTCTCTCTCCCTCTCTCTCTCTCTCTCTTAGACCTCTGCTGCCTCTCTTTTTCCCTCCATTCCTCATCCATATTTCTCCTGACATACATCTTGTTCTTGCCTTCTCAAGGGACGCCATTTAACCGGCTGTCACAATCTCAGTACAATCAGCACGAACCCCTCGGGATGTAGCGCTCAACAGTGCGTCCCACTTATGAGCGCTCTTCCAACAACCAACACTGATCTTCTAGCCACCGGTGTCCTTCTCTTCCCCCCTCTATCTCCGGTTTTGGCTAGCCTTTTCTTAAATGTTGTTTTGTAATTGACTAAAACAAGCAGGCAACAAGAAAATAGCGTTTGAAAATGTCACGTTTTTTCTGTGAGCCAATTTTCCCCACTGGCGGGCGGGGGCCGCGACCTCTCGCAGCAAATTATGACGTGCCTCGAGTCTTGTGACCCACACTGAACTGTCCCGGGTGGGTGGAGTTTTCATAATATACAAACTCCGCCTAACCGGGCCATGCAAAACGAACACGCCCATTGGTGAGCCGTCACAGCTAACCTAGCTAGAGACAATTTTCACCAGTGGAGGTTAGTAAAATTTACCAGATTGGCCACTCGAGCCTAGATAGACGTTGGTCTTTGCAAAACCGTCCACTGTTTGGAGGCGAACAAAAAGTAAGATAGCTAACTAGAGGCAGCTATCGAAAGGCTAGCTAGCCTGCTTGATATGTTGTTGTTACTGGGGAAATGAAAGGGCTCCTCTCTCTTCACTTGCGAGAAATATGGATCCATTGTCAACATTGCAAGTCAACAATATGATAGCTAGCTTTCCAAGGTTGTAGGTTATAGGATAGGTAGCTAGCTAGCTCATCATGACTCGCTCTTCATAACGCGCCCGGAGAGAATACAGTCAGTGTGACAACAACGGAGGCTAACGTTAGCAAACTAGCAAACGTTACCTGGCTACAACGGGAAAAGGTAAGCTTATGGGGGACATATGAGTGACATAGCTAGCCAAATAACTGAAAGGTTCCCCCTTTGGTCTCTGACATAGCTGTAGCTAGTTAGCGACAAAGTCAGTCAGCCAACTAACGTTAGCTAGATATGATTCATAACTCCTAGCTAACTATAATTATTAACTCCAAAGACAGGGCAGATTGTAAAAAGCCTTGTATTTTGGAGTTATGAATCATACCTAGCCAACCAACTAGCTAGCTAACTAGCTATTCAAACATTCAGCCAACCTTGTTTTCTAACTGGCCTTGATGCCTTAATTACTCATTACTTAATTACTACTTTTAGTTCAAGTAATGTTAGCTAGCTAGTTGACAATAAAAAGCCACCTTGTGGACATTGAAACAAACTAAATGAAATAATGAGTCAAATGAACCCCTAACATAAAGGAAGAGTTGAGACACTCCTGTTATTTATCCTCTACCTTTTAGGGCAATGAATCCTAAACTTCCCTTCTCTTCCCCATCCCTCAGTCCAGCATCTATGACCTATACCACTCAGCTGGAGAGATGTACCCCCCACCCAGAAAGGACTTCATCGCGCTAACCCTCAGTGACCAACACAGCCGCAGCTACAACAACGGAAAGCACCGCCGCCAGTCCTGCTGGAGGGTGAGTATCAAGCGACTCAGAGTAGGAGTGCTGATCTAGGATCAGGTCCCCCCTGTCCAATTAATCGTATTCAGTGTGATCTAAAAGGCTAAACTGTACCTAAATCAGCACTCCTACTCTGAGAAGATTTGTTTCACATACGGCCCCAGGCTTTCTCCCACTCTTTTCTCAATACGGTGCTGTCATGCCAAGATCAGTACGTCCTTGTGTTTGCTGTCCTTCTTTCAAACTGGTTTCATGTTTCACTCTCAAAGGAAACCCACTTGTCAACAGGTAGTGTAGCCTACTTCCTACTCCAGTCAAGCATTGAGATGCTTCCAGATAGTACCAACGACCTCTTGTTGATTGAACGATAACTGATTAAGAGATCAACATGGACTAGAGCTGTTGCAAAACGTTTATTAAACAGAAGCAAACGGAACGAAACGAGGAGGGACCTACCTGAATTTATCCAATAGACACTTTTATTTAGCTCTGTTTGCTTACATTTGGTTCTTAAACGGTAAACTGTTTCTGTAATGATTACGCCCCTGGTTTTCAGGTGCTTAACAGAACCAGCAGAGATGTGCTTTTTAAACCTGCCATTAGTTTGTGTCGTATATGCTGGTGCAATATGCAAAAGTATAGCAATCATGAATGTAAGGAGTAGTGTTTATAGTAGCTTTCATTGGTATAGGGCAGACTAGGCTAAGTCGTCTTGTGTATTGTTTTATTTAGATGGATTCCAGTGACAAAGCCTCTTCTGAGACAATGATGCATTGTTTTCCATCATGGCTCACTGATAATTGCTCAGATAGCCATTTGTGGCTCAGCACAAGTGTTAATTAGGCTAAGTAGCCAGCCTACAGTACTTGCGTGTAGCCTGTTGTGCCTCTAGTTATTTTTGTTGTCTCCAATTTAATTAAATTTTTTATTTCACCTTTATTTAACCAGGTAAACCAGTTGAGAACAAGTTCTCATTTACAACTGCGACCTGGCCAAGATAAAGCAAAGCAGTGCGATAAAAAAACAACAACACAGAGTTACATATGGGGTAAACAAAACATAAAGTCAAAGAATACAACAGAAAATATATATACAGTGTGTGCAAATGTAGCAAGTTATGGAGGTAAGGCAATACATAGGCCATAGTGCAAAAATAATTACAATTTAGTAAAATAATTACAATTTAGTATTAACACTGGAATGATAGATGTGCAAGAGATTATGTGCAAATAGTGATACTGGGGTGCAAATGAGCAAAATAAAAAACAATATGGGGATGAGGTAGTTGGGTGGGCTAATTTCAGATGGGCTGTGTACAGGTGCAGTGATCGGTAAGGTGCTCTGACAACTGATGCTTAAAGTTAGTGAGGGAGATAAGTCTCCAGCTTCAGAGATTTTTGCAGTTCGTTCCAGTCATTGGCAGCAGAGAACTGGAAGGAATGGCGGCCAAAGGAGGTGTTGGCTTTGGGGATGACTAGTGAGATATACCTGCTGGAGCGCATACTACGGGTGGGTGTTGCTATGGTGACCAATGAGCTAAGATAAGGCAGGGATTTGCCTAGCAGTGATTTATAGATGACCTGGAGCCAGTGGGTTTGGCGACGAATATGTAGTGAGGACCAGCCAACAAGAGCGTACAGGTTACAGTGGTGAGTAGTATATGGGGCTTTGGTGACAAAACGGATGGCACTGTGATAGACTACATCCAGTTTGCTGAGTAGAGTGTTAGAGGCTATTTTGTAAATGACATCGCCGAAGTCAAGTATCGGTAGAGCATCCCTCTATCTCCCATGAGAGAGCATCCCTCTATCCTCACTGCTTGCTCGCACACTGGTTATATCAGTCTGTGTAAGCTAGTGGAAAAACAACCATCTAGAGATGTTGGAGTTGTACCAGGCAAGTAACACAATAGCTAACACAGTGTTTGTCAAAAGCTTTTATCCCTCATAAATGGTGATTTGGTGTGGGGAAATTAGCTGAGGTACTACTGTCATTTCACTGTCAATCACTGGACCTTAACACCGGATCTAGCTAGCCGCAACCGAATGGATGTCAAATGGATGTTGCTGTAGGCTAATCACCACTGCCCCTGTAGCACCAGTTAGCCTTGAGCTAGCCCCGGCTATCTACCTCTCTGTCTACCGGACGGGAGTAGCCAGCTAACCAGCTAACTAGCTACTTGCTATTAGCCACCGTTAGCGGCTTTTTCTCCATTGTCCGTGGCCTGCACAACCTACCAGCCAGCTCTAGCCTGGACTATTATCGGCCAGTCTGCACAGCGAGTTATCGACCCAGAACCTATCGGATTTTCTGCCGGAATCACTGAATCACTGGACCTTTAACACTGGATAATCGCAACTAGCTAGCTGCAACCAAATGAACGTTGTTGTTGGCTAATCAGCCTTGAGCTAGCCTTGAGTCAAGCACATCTCCCGGCTATCTACCTCTCTGTCGACCGGACGGGACCTCCTAGAGTTGACACAGAGCCCTGCCGATCCATCACGACTGGTCTGCCGACGTAATCGTCTGTGGTTTCAACAGGCTTCCCGTTGCGACGACCATGAAGATCCATCTGCTAGCCCCGGCCCGCTAGCACACGCAAACTACAACCGTGCTTCCTGCTCGCTGTGCTGAAGCACCAATTTGAACTGCTCTCGGACTCACATATTGCTGTTCACTGGACCTTATGATCACTCAGCTGCACAGCTGATGCCTGCTGGACTGTTCCTTTACATGGTACCCTGTCCTGTTTATTCTGTTTAGCCTCAGCCCAAACTTTATCGCCATTACCAGTTGTTGTCTTAGCTCTCTCTAATAACACCTGTGATTGCTTTATGCCTCTCTCCCATGCCTTGCCTATTGCTGTTCCAGTTAGTTGTTATTATACAATTTCACTGTAGAACCCCAAGTCCCTCTCAAACTGCCTGAAATAGTTTTTGTTCCACCCCCCATACACGCGGAGACCGGCTCAATCGGTGCCTCCAGTGATGCTATCTCTTTCATTGTTACCCAACGCTTAGGTTTACCTCCACTGTACTCATATCCTTCCATATCCTTGTCTGTACATAATGCCCTGAATCTTTTCTACAACGCCCGGAAATCTGCCCCCTTTATTCTCTGTACCCAACGCACTACAAGACCAGTTCTTAAAGCCTTTAGCCGTGTCCTTATTCTAGTCCTCCTCTGTTCCTCTGGTGATGTAGAGGCTAACCCAGGCCCTGCAGCCCCCAGTATCACTCCTACTCCCCAGGAGCTATCATTTGTTGACTTCTGCAACCGTAAAAGCCTTGGTTTTCTGCACGTTATCATCAGAAGTGTCCTTCCTAAGTTTGAGTTATTCACTGCGTTAGCACACTCTGCCAACCCTGATGTTCTAGCAGTCTGAATCCTGGCTTAGGAAGGCCACCAAAAATTCTGAAATGTCCATCCCCAACTACAACATCTTCCGTCTAGATAGAACTGCCAAAGGGGGTGGAGTTGCAATCTACTGTAGAGAGCCTGCAGAGCTCTATCATACTATCCAGGTCTGTGCCCAAACAGTTTGAGCTTCTACTTCTAAAAATCCACCTTTCCAGAAATGTCTCTCACTGTTGCTGCTTGCTACAGACCCCCCTCAGCCCCCAGCTGTGCCCTGGACACCATATGTGAATTGTTTGCCCCCCATTTATCCTCAGAGTTCGTACTGCTTGGTGACCTATATTGGGATATGCTTAACACCCCGGCCATCCTACAATCCAAATTATCAACGAACCTACCAGGTACAACCCTAAATCCGTAAACATGGGTACCCTCATAGATATCATCCTGACTAACTTACCCTCTAAATACACCTCCGCTGTCTTCAACCAGGATCTCAGCGATCACTGCCTTATTGCCTGCGTCTGTAACGGGTCCGCGGTCAAACGACCACCCCTCATCACTGTCAAATGCTCCCTAAAACACTTTAGCAAGCAGGCCTTCCTAATTGACCTGGCCCAGGTATCCTGGATGGATATCGATCTCATTCCGTCAGTAGAGGATGCCTGGTTGTTCTTTAAAAGTAATTTCCTCTGAATCTTAAATAAACATGCCCCATTCAAAAAATACAGAACTAAGAACAGATATAGCCCCTGGTTCTCCTCAGACTTGACTGCCCTTGATCAGCACAAAAACATCCTGTGGCGTACTGCATTAGCATCAAATAGCCCCTGCGATATGCAACTTTTCAGGGAAGTTAGGAACCAATATACACAAGCAGTTAGGAAAGCAAAGGCTAACTTTTTCAAACAGAAATGTGCATCCTGTAGCACTAACTCCAAAATGTTTTGGGACACTGTAAAGTCCATGGAGAATAAGAGCACCTCCTCCCAGCTGCCCACTGCACTGAGGCTAGGAAACACTATCACCACCGATAAATCTACAATAATCAAGAATTGTGGTCCTCTGTAGCTCAGCTGGTAGAGCACGGCGCTTGTAACGCCAAGGTAGTGGGTTCGATCCCCGGGACCACCCATACACAAAAAAAAAAAAATGTATGCACGCATGACTGTAAGTCGCTTTGGATAAAAGCGTCTGCTAAATGGCATATTATTATTATTATTATTATATTATTATTATTATAAGAATTTCAACAAGCATTTTGCTAAGGCTGGCCATGCTTTCCACCTGGATACCACTACCCCGGCCACCAGCTCTGCACCCTCCGCTGCAACTAGAGTTCAATGTGTCAAATCGGAGGGCCTGTTGTCTGGACCTATGGCAGTCTCTATGGGGGTGCCACAGGGTTCAATTCTTGGGCCGACTCGTTTCTCCGTGTATATCAATAATGTTGCTCTTGCTGCTGGTGACTCTCAGATCCACCTCTACGCAGACGACACCATTTTGTATACATCTGGCCCTTCATTGGACACTGTGTTAACAAACCTCCAAACGAGCTTCAATGCCATACAACACTCCTTCAGTAGCCTCCAACTGCTCTTAAACACTAGTAAAACTAAATGCATGCTCTTCAATCGAACGCTGCTGGCACCCGCCCACCTGACTAGAATCACTACTCTTGACGGGTCTGACCTAGAGTATGTGGACAACTACAAATACCTAGGTGTCTGGTTAGACTGTAAACTCTCCTTCCAGACTCACATTAAGAATCTCCAATCCAAAGTTAAATCTAGAATCGGCTTCCTATTTCGCAACAAAGCCTCCTTCACTCATGCTGCCAAACATGCCCTCGTAAAACTGACTATCCTACCGATCCTTGACTTCGGCGAAATATGATGTAGTCTATCACAGTGCCATCCGTTTTGTCACCAAAGCCCCATATACTACCCACCACTGTGACCTGTACACTCTTGTTGGCTGGTCCTCACTACATATTCGTCGCAAAATCCACTGGCTCCAGGCCATCAAATAAATCACTGCTGGGCAAATCCCCGCCTTATCTTAGCTCATTGGTCACCATAGCAACACCCACCCGTAGTATGCGCTCCAGCAGGTATATCTCACTGGTCATCCCCAAAGCCAACACCTCCTTTGGCCGCCATTCCTTCCAGTTCTCTGCAGCCAATGACTGGAACGAATTGCAAAAATCTCTGAAGCTGGAGACTCACTTATCTCCCTCACTAACTTTAAGCATCAGTTGTCAGAGCACCTTACCGATCACTGCACCTGTACACAGCCCATCTGAAATTAGCCCACCCAACTACCTCATCCCCATATTGTTATTTATTTTGCTCATTTGCACCCCAGTATCTCTATTTGCACGTAATCTCTTGCACATCTATCATTCCAGTGTTAAAACTAATTGTAATTATTTTGCACTATAGCCTATTTATTGCCTTACCTCCATAACTTGCTACATTTGCACACACTGTATATATATTTTCTGTTGAATTTTTGACTTTATGTTTTGTTTTACCCCATATGTAACTCTGTGTTGTTTTTATCGCACTGCTTTGCTTTATCTTGGCCAGGTCGCGGTTGTAAATGAGAACGTGTTCTCAACTGGCTTACCTGGTTAAATAAAGGAGAAATAAAATAAAATAAAAATGTGAATTGACCCTTCGCTAAGCCCTGCCCCCCTTGGTTACTGTTGCAAGCTCAGACAACATTTTCCCAGGAAGCCACATTCCTTGTTGTAACCACTTGCGAATTCCCCTTTTTTAATACACAATGAAATTAAGCACTGACTACCCCTTGCTATTCAGGAAACTCTGGGGTATGTTGTGGTGGACTGTCATTACAATTGCTTCAAGGAAACCTGGTAAAATTATGTTTGTAGTGTAGCTAGCCACTGAATGGCTCTGAATGCACTGTGCATGCAGTCAAAGCTACTAACCACTTTTGTAGCTAATAAGTGCTCTGAAATCGTTTGCTGATGTCGACAGCAGATTAGTTATATTCCTAATATAGCCAATTTAGCTAGCTAACATACATTTTCAGAAAACAAGTTATATTAAGTGGCTAGCTAGCGTTAGCAACATTTGGTAGTCAATGAGACTGAAAGCTAGCTAACCAGTTGAGCTAACAAACAATGTAACAAAAGTATAATTTTGGATTCCAAAAATAAGCCAACAGGTTCTGCAATTCAGGAATCACAGTGGCAAGTACCCCTGGTATACTTTTCAATTATTTAGCCATTTAAACAATTACTTTTTTTACCCACTGCCCTCACTGGCTTTCATGCGTTTCTAACGTGAGGTTGTCCGAGGTGTCAGACTCGACGACAGTTGCTATCCATTGGAGTGCTGCGATTGGTTGCTCAAAATTCCAGGGCCAGGCTTAGCAAAGGGTCAATTGAGAGATGTTAAATTGCTTTTGAGTGCTTTTTTCCTCTCTCCTTTGTAGAAGTGGAAGCAGCTGTCTCGGCTGCAGCGCAGTCTCATCCTCTTCCTGCTGGCTCTGCTGCTGATATGTGGATTGCTCTCCTACCCCAGCTTCTCAGAGCAATGGAGAGGTAGGCCTTCTTCCCCACACTCACTGGCTGTTAGTCTTTTGTATTTGTATGCTGCTTTTGATGTTTCACAGCAGGCTCCTGTGCTGTGTATTGATGTCTGTATTGTCATTTGTGTGTGTGTGCACTCAGGCATGTCAGACAGGGCGGTAAGGGAGGACTGGGATGAAGACTGGGAAAGAGGCCTGAAACCCATCCCTCCAGGGGTAAACCCTGTGGCTGGCCCAGCTGTAGGTCCGGCTGTGGGCCTGGCCGGTGGAGCGGTCGGCCCAGAGTTGGGTCCAGCTGTGGGTCCAGGACTCATACCAGAGGTCATTCCAGAACCCCAGAGACCAAAGGTCATACCCAAACCCCCAGCCAAGGTCAGGACCAGTCTGGCTATTGCACTATACTTAACCACTTTGATTGGTTTTATGTTTAATAAAACTTAACAACCATTCAAGTGATTCTGGGTCCAAGAATAGACAGTGAAGGAACTGTTTTGGCTGTCCTTCAGCGCCTTTGTCAGAACTTGCTGTAATCTATTCTAATTAACTGTGTTTACCTATGTAGAAGAGACCATTCCCCAACAAGAGAGGACCTCCAAGCCTGCAGAAGGAGGGGAACGTATCAGATTCACTGGTAAAACCAGCTGAGAAAGAGCCAGTGGAGAAAGAGCCAGTGGAGAAAGCTGAAGAGGAGGAGGGAGAGAAGCCTCTTGTCAGGTAAAACCCTATTGTCAAGCGTAACCACATTTGATATTGAATTCAACTCTTTTGACCAATATGTATCGTTCTGCGGTAATACTGTTATTGCTATTTATTTACAGCTCCATGTCTTTTAGAACTTGTGTTATATGTGTTACATACACGTAGCTGGCGAGGAGCCATGATCGAGGCGGACGAGGCTACAGAACCCCCACCCTCTGCCCATGAGAAGGATGGCGCTGTGCCTCCTGTGCCAGTCAACCCTGAGGACACAGCCCCACTGGCACCAGGTAAGTCTCTGCCACACGCACCATCTCACAACCTCAACCATACCGCACACCCACTCCAGAGCTTGACCAGTTGTGGTGTCTTTGGCTTCAGAAATATACATGTTTTTGTGTGTGTGTGCTTGAGAGCATGTGTTTACTGTGTGTAGTTTCAGTGAAGCCTGTGGACAGGCTTGAGACAGTGCGAGAGGCCTTTAGGCATGCGTGGAAGGGCTATAAGGAGTTTGCCTGGGGTCATGATGAGCTCAAGCCTGTGTCTAAGTCCTACGGGGAGTGGTTTGGCCTGGGCCTGACTCTCATTGACGCTCTGGACACCATGTGGATCTTGGGACTGAAAGAAGGTAGCTAGGCCTAACACAAACACACACACCCCGCTCTCTCTTTACTAATTGCTTCTCTCTATTTGCTGCTGTGTAACAGAACCCAAGGCTGAATTTCTCTCTGTCTCTCGCTCGCTTGCTTGCCTGCTTGCTTGCTCGCTCACAGAGTTTGAGGAGGCGAGGAAGTGGGTGGAGACTGAGTTGTCATTCTCTAAGAATGTGGACGTGAACCTGTTTGAGAGCACCATCCGGATCCTGGGAGGCCTGCTAAGCACCTACCACCTGACTGGCGATGAGATGTTCCTTGAGAAGGCTGTGAGTGACATGGGAAGGAAGGCTAGGACAGATTGGGTGACTAGAATATGGTCTCTACTTCTTTCTCTACCTCCATCTCTTGTTTCAACCTTTCAATCCCTCTATTCACTGGTCCTTGTGTCTTCTGACTGACACACACCCTGAGTGTACACATTATTTTTTTTGGAGGGTAGATCAGCTTAATATTGCAGATAGATTGTAACTTCCATCAATGTAATTGTCTGCATCACTTCCAATCCCCCATGTTTTTTATATATATATATATTGATGTAACTTGTTAAATCCACTTCAATCAGTGTAGATGAAGGGAAGGAGACGGGTTTAAAATTAAAATAAAAAATTAAAATATGATTTTTAAGCCTTGAGACATCGATAGTGTATGTGTGCCATTCAGATGGTGAATGGGCAAGACAAAATATTTAGTTGATTTTGAACGGGGTATGGTAGAAGGTGCCAGGCGCACCAGTTTGAGTGTGTCAAGAACTGCAACGCTGGTGGGTTTTTCAGGCTCAACAGTTTCCCATGTGTATCAAGACTGGTCCACCACCCAAAGGACATCCAGCCAACTTGACACAACTATGGGACGCATTGGAGTCAACATGGGCCAGCATCCCTGTGGAACGCTTTCGACACCTTGTAGAGTCCATGCCTCAACGAATTGAGACTGTTCTGAGGGCAAAAGGGGGTACAACTCAATATTAGGAAGATGTTCCTAATGTTTTGTATACTCTGTGTACATCAGAGCAGGAAAAATGCTCTTCTCTTCCCACATCGGAATGCCATATGCAAAACAAACTAAATTCAATTTTTTTATAAAAATTTTTCTAAGCAAATCACCCGCCTAAATTCAAACATGCACATTCTCAACCAATGTTCAAATTCTTCTTTGTAAATGAATCACTGAAAACCTCAAATTGTATCTACAAACTTAGTACGTTTCATTGCCTGAGGTTATGATAAATCAATGGAAAGCATCTTGATTCGGAGCCAATTTTGGAAAATAATCAGAATAATTAATGAGTCAGAAAAGTACTTAATTCAATTAGCTAATTTACTAATCAGTGCTAATGAGGATTGATCCCTATGTTCTCATCTTTCCTTCCCTTGTGCTTGTAGAAAGACATTGGCTTGAGGTTGATGCCTGCGTTCAAAACCCCCTCCAAGATCCCCTTCTCTGATGTGAACATTGGGAAGGGCACAGCCCACCCCCCTCGCTGGACGTCCGACAGCACTCTGGCCGAGGTCACCAGTGTCCAGCTGGAGTTCAGAGAGCTCAGCCGCCTCACCCAGGACCCGCAGTACCAGGTGAGGCCAGAGAGGGGAGCTCTATGGATCATGTCATGTGTGTTCTGGGTGTAGACTACTGCGGTTCAAAAGTTCAAGTCAACTAGGCAGACATATTGTGCGTTTGTATTTTTTTACAGACGATGATCTCCGTTATGCCATTATGTGTCAACGGATGACTCCCATTGAAAAGCCATTGTCTCAATATGTAATTTTTGGACACAATCTTTGTCTGGACGCATAGGTTGAAATTTGAGGAGTTTAACTCATTATTGCATAGGTTTGAATTTGAGAAGGTTTTCCGTTGCAAAACGTTTTTCTACAGTGCGCTCTAATGAATATGACCCAAGTCTTTATCAACCTGCCTGTGCGTCCCTAGGAGGTGGTGAATGAGGTGATGAGGCTGGTTCATAAGCTGCCAGGGAAGCATGACGGCCTGGTGCCCATGTTCATCAACACCAACAGTGGCCAGTTCACCCACAAAGGAGTGTTCACCCTGGGGGCCCGGGCTGACAGCTACTATGAGTACCTGCTCAAACAGTGGATCCAGGGAGGCAAGACGGAACCAGAGTAAGCACATTTCTATCAATTTTGCCTTTACGATAATAATGAATAAGATGGCATGGACACGGAGGACCTGATCCTCGATCAGCACACCTACTCGAGATGCTTTATGAATACAGGCCCAGATCACATATGATTAGATTAGAGTGCTTTGAGGAGACTTGTCTTGCAGGATTACAGATAAACAAATAGAGATTTATGGGTGTGTTGTTCAGTCTGTTGGAGGACTACCTGGAGGCAATAGAAGGGGTCAAGAAGCACCTGCTGAGAACCACAGGCCCCAGAAAGCTGACCTTCGTAGGGGAGCTCAACCACAATCGCTTCAATCCCAAGATGGTGAGAGACTACACAACATCCATACCAATACATTTACATTTTAGTCATTAAGCAGACGCTCTTATCCAGAGCATACATGTATTTTTTATTTTTTCATACTGGCCCCCCGTGGGAATCAAACCCACAACCCTGGCGTTGCAAGCGCCATGCTCTACCAATTGAGCTACATTGTATGTACTACTTTACATGTTTACAGTAAATACTCTCGCTCTATTCCTCACTGTCTTCCCCCCTCTCTCTCGCTGTCTGTCTCTCTGCCCCCGTCCCTCTCTCTCTCTCTCAATCTGCCCCCCTCTCTCTCAGGACCACCTGGTGTGTTTCCTGCCTGGCACTCTGGCGCTGGGTGCCCACAATGGGCTGCCGGAGGATCACATGGAGCTGGCCCTGCAGCTGATGGAGACGTGCCACCAGATGTACGTCCAGATGGAGACGGGCCTGAGCCCCGAGATCGCCCACTTCAACCTGCAGCCCTACGACGGGCGAGACGTCAACGTCAAGGTGGGTTCTACAGGAAGAATACTGAGAGCATCCCAGATGGCATCGGGAATAGGGAGCAACTTAGGACACAGACAATATGTGTCTGTGAGATCTAGATGTATTTGGCTCCTACTGTACGTCTTTCAATCCTTGTTTACTTTGATGCGTATCTTATTTCTCTGTCTCGCACTAATCCTTATCTAGAGATGTTGAGTAGCAGAGTGACAGGAGTCAAGTGTGGCTCTACGGTGTAATAAAGCTGAAAACCTCTCAGATATTTGTTTTCTCCTCACTGCTGGAATTAACACTCAACTTGCTTTCCAAATACGGCTCGTCAGTTCTTAAGGTCATTTAATTATGATTTAGGAGGGACTGCTACAGCATATAAACATCTCCAATCAAAGCATAGAAAGATGTGTTCGAATTCACTTTACTATTGATGTTTATGGTTGAGTCTCAAATGGCACCCTATTCTCTAAAAGTAGTGCGCTATATAGGGAATGGGGTGTAATTCGGGATGCACCCAATGTGAGTTTGCATGTCTTTTCTCCCCCAGCCTGCAGACAGACACAACCTCCTGAGACCGGAGACAGTGGAGAGTCTGTTCTACCTGTACAGGTTCACTAAGGACACCAAATACAGAGACTGGGGCTGGGACATTCTAGAGAGCTTCAACAAATATACCAGGGTGAGTCCAATGTCTTACTGTACATCAGATAGCACAACGACTCCACCTTCACTGATCTGTTATGTCTGATAACTCGCAAACATTTATTGAATAGATCAAAAGTTGTTTGGCAACGATGTTACTACGGTGACTGTCTAATGAACCCACTAACAGTCAAATTAATATTTTAAAAAACTATAACCCTGTGGTAAATGTTGACGTTTTCTTCCTGGGCAAGTCTTAATTACCCAATTCTACACCTAGCTAAGGAGTTTTGTGGTTGAAGAAGCACTATTTATGAAGTTCGAAATGTGCATGAAAATTATAGCTAGATAGCTTGTTTGTTAGCTGAGCCAATCCCACTGGCTGCATTATGAAATAAGCTACATTCTGAGAACAGTCCCATCATTTCGTGGAGTATGACTTTATCAGGAAGCTGGCTACCTAGCTACCGTAAACAAGTTAAAACGTTTATGTCTGTAAGCTGTGTGCTAACTACAACAAGTTTGATCACCTGATTGACTGGTGGTGTATGGTTTCTGCCAGCTAGTGCATCTGCCATCTGTTTCATACCGTGTCAATGCGAGAACGCAGTCATTTAAAAAACCCAGGTCCTACTTTCATGCAGATGCAGAGGAATCTTTATTATAAGAAAATTAGTTTCACGTGTTGCATGACAGATAGCACATGGCAGCACAGTTGCATTAGAAAGACGCCATCTGTAGGAAGACAATGGGGTGAGTTTACCTGAATTTCTCAATGAACATTATCATCTTGAGCTTTAATACCAAGCTGCCTTCTCAAGGGATCCGGCTTGACTCACTGTGGTGTGGTGGTGGTGCACAGTCAAAGACAGACTTGTAAATGGGGTTTCATGTGGAGGAGTTTGGGTTTCCTGTGACACACTCACTGCTTCCCCTCATGCTCTGCTTCCTCTCCAGGTGCCAAGTGGAGGCTACACCTCCATCAGTAACGTGCGCGACCCCGTGAACCCGGGTCCTAGGGACAAGATGGAGAGCTTCTTCCTGGGGGAGACACTCAAGTACTTCTACCTGCTGTTTTCAGACGACCTGGAGCTGCTCAGCCTGGACAAGTACGTGTTCAACACAGAGGCCCACCCACTACCCATCTGGAAATCGCCTCCTGTCTGAGACAGGAAGTGACGTCATAGAGAAGTAGCCTACCACCGAGATCCTGGGGTTTGAACTTCCTAGCTGCCTTCTCAAGGGGTCCAGCTTGACTCTCTGTGCACAGTAGAAGACAAACTCGTCAATGGGTTTTCAAGTGGAGGGGATTTCCTTGGATGGGGGGGTGCTATAGAGCTGGTCTCTGTTGTACAAAGCTTTTGTAGTTTGGAGTAGACACTCTTGAGAATCTTGACGGCTTGCTGTTCAGTTTAAAAGAAACAAGAAGACCGAAGGTCTACAAAATCAACTCAACATTTTCAAGGTTTATTGCAAGGTGGGAGGACTGGTAGCGAAACTAGACTGAGACTCCCCCAGGTGCCAGTTTGATTATTTTCTAACACTAGACAGTAATAGTATCCTCTCCCTTCCCCTCCCTGACCGGCTGATGAAGAATATGTAATAAGGTGGAAGTACCAGAAGATGGTTATGCTTTCCCATTGATTTGTCCTATACATTTATGTTAGATCATTGTTTACCTTGAAGGGAATACTGAATACATGGGTTGCATTGTTGAGAGCCTTTTAATGGTAGGGGAAAGACTCCTACCCCATAGGTCTTTCAGGAGTTCCTCTCCTTGATAGCCATTACCACAGAAATAGAATGAGTAGAATGGGCGTCACCATTCATGTCAATTAATCCATAATGGGTGGACTGGTGGCCATTTTGTGTATTCATTCTATTTCTATGGGCATTACATCACTAGTTACTACTGTCACTGTGGAGGACCAGTTGAAGTAGCCTATAGTACCGCAACTGTGAAGCTCCTAAGATGAAGAATGCTTTGCACTTTCATTTCAAAAAGGAAGGATTTGTCTTTTGTATATTTAAGTGATGTGGGAGTAGATTTGAGTAGTGACGCATGCAGGTGATTCTGCGTGCTTTAGCTGAATGGATAAAAAACAACACTGATGGCCTATGAATGAAATGCCATTAATCATTGTTGCACATGGGACCACAGCGTACAATGACAGTTATTTATTTATTTATGGTGAATGTGTCCTTTTTTTAGTTTTGTGTTTTTCATTATCACTTATAAGAAGTCTAACCCTCCTGTTTCATGGGATTATATGAAGGGTAATTGAGAATGTAATCCAGGTAATGAAGTAATGGTACGTTTGGATACTTTAAAATGTGATTTCTCAGATGCAGACAAGTTGTGTAAATAACTCAATATTGCTGTGTGATGAATTTCATGTATATTTCATTTGGGGCAATGTGTCTGTGTATCCGTCTCATCATGAGGGAGTTAAGGTTTATGCAATCGACTAGTAGGCAAGTCTTTCGTGACTGAACTGCGAGATTTGGGTTCTGTTTTCTGAGATGAATTGATTTCTACAGCCTAATTAAAGTGCTTCCACTGAGAATTCTTATGTTTCGATGTTTGGGTTCTGGGTAGAATATTTTTGTTGTTGCTTGAATTAAATCTGTTACACTCCCAGACTCATTATCAGTCAGAATTAATACCAGAATTAATGAATTACCAGAAAGACTCTTACTAGTCTAAATTAAATGAGAAGGGTACTTGTTTTCTTGAGGTGTGGGTGATATTAGGCTGATGGCTATTTAAGCATACCTACAGTGCGCCCAATCATGAGTGGTTGTTTCTTCCAATTTTATACTGTGCCTGCTGAAGATGTCCAGTGTATACACTGAGTGTACAAAACATTAGGAACACCTTCCTAATAAAGTTGTGCCCCCTTTTGCCCTCCGAACAGCCTAAGTTTGTCGGGGCATGGACTCTACAAGGTGTTGAAAGCGTTCCACAGGGATGCTGGCCCATGTTGACTCCAATGTTTCCCACAGTTGTCAAGTTGGCTGGGATGTCCTTTGGGTGGTGGACCATTCTTGATGCACACGGGAAACTGTTGAGTGTGAAAAACCCAGCAGCGTTGCAGTTACACACTCAAACTGGTGCGCCTGGCACCTACTACCATACCCTGTTCAATGGCACTTAAATATTTTGTCTTGCCCATTCACCCGCTACATGCCACACATACACAATCCATGTCTCAAGGTTTAAATCGTTTTTTTATTTTTATACTTGTCTCCTCTCCTTCATCTACGCTCATTGAAGTGAATTTAACAAGTGACAATAAGGGATCATAGCTTTCACCTGGTCAGTCTGATGGAAAGAGCAGGTGTTCCTAATGTTTTGTACACTCAGTGTATATACAGTGCCTTGCAAAAGTATTCATCCCCTTGGCGTTTTTCCTATTTTGTTGCATTACAACCTGTAATTTAAATATATTTTTATTTGGATTTCATGTAATGGACATACACAAAATAGTGAAATGAAAAAAATAACTTGTTTCATAAAATTCAAAAAAATAATAATGGAAAAGTGGTGCGTGCATATGTATTCACCCCCTTTGCTATGAAGCCCCTAAATAAGATCTGGTGCAACCAATTACCTTGAGAAGTTGCATAATTAGTTAAATAAAGTACACCTGTGTGCAATCTAAGTGTCACATGATCTTAGTATATATACACCTGTTCTGAAAGGCCCCAGAGTCTGCAACACCACTAAGCAAGGGGCACCACCAAGCAAGCGGCACCATAAAGACCAAGGACCTCTCCAAACAGGTCAGGGACAAAGTTGTAGAGAAGTACAGATCAGGGTTGGGTTATAAAAAAATATCAGAAACTTTGAACATCCCACGGAGCACAGTTAAATCCATTATTTAAGAAATGGAAAGAATATGGCACCACAACAAACCTGCTAAGAGAGAGCCGCCCACCAAAACTCACGGACCAGGCAAGGAGGCCAACAAAGAGACCAAAGATAACCCTGAAGGAGCTGCAAAGCTCCACAGCGGAGATTGGAGTATCTGTCCATAAGACCACTTTAAGCCGTACACACCACAGAGCTGGCCTTTACGGAAGAGTGGCCAGAAAAAATAAGCAAACACGTTTGGTGTTCGCCAAAAGCCATGTGGGAGACTCCCCAAACATATGGAAGAAGGTACTCTGGTCAGATGAGACTAAAATTGAGCTTTTTGGCCATCAAGGAAAACGCTATGTCTGGCGCGAATCCAACACCTCTCATCACCCCGATAACACCATCCCTACAGTGAAGCATGGTGTTGGCAGCATCATGCTGTGGGGATGTTTTTCATCGGCAGGGACTGGGAAACTGGTCAGAATTGAAGGAATGATGGATGGCGCTAAATACAGGGACATTTTTGAGGGAAACCTGTTTCAGTCTTCCAGAGATTTGAGACTGGGACGGAGGTTCACCTTCCAGCAGGACAATGACCCTAAGTATACTGCTAAAGCAACACTTGGGTGGTTTAACGGGGAACTAGTCAAATGGCCTAGTCAAAGCCCAGACCTCAATCCAATTGAGAATCTGTGGTATGACTTAAAGATTGCTGTACACCAGCGGAACCCATCCAATTTGGGGGGGAATAGTTATGCATGCTCAGTTTTCTGTTTTTTTGTCTTATTTCTTGTTTCACCCCAAAAAATATTTTGCGTCTTCAAATTGGTAGGCATGTTGTGTAAATCAAATGATACAAACCCCCCCAAAATCCATTTTAATTCCAGGTTGTAAGGCAACAAAATAGGGGGTGAATACTTTCGCAAGCCACTGCAGTTAATGGTTATGTCTTGTAGAGCATTTTGGCCAGGGAGGTGTCTCCATATAGCTCACTATTTGGGGCGTTTCAAGTAAAGTGTAAATATTTTATGGGCATTCTTTTTAAATGGTCTCCTGAATGTTGTGATTGTGTTCCTCTTCTGATGTGTTTACGGCCCAGTGCAGTCAAAAATGTGATCCCCCCCCCGTGTTTTTATGTTTCCACATTATGAGAATCGAATAAGATTGTGAAAATGATCAGGCCCTTTTAGTGTAAGAGCTGCTTGAAGTTGGCCTGAAATGTCAGCCTGTTTTTGTGTGATGGGGTAAATGATTTAATAGACTAATAAGTCAAACCTCTGCCAATAACAGCTTGTTGTACGTTTTCCCCTCCCCACTCAGACCACTCCCAGACAGTCCTAGTCTTGCTTGAGAATGGTTGTTCTTTTTTTTGTTGACTATTTTAATTGAAAACAATCACAGTAAGGTACTTAATTGTTACCCAGAAATGATTTGATATTGAGATAAAAACTGCTGCGTTGAACCTTTAAACAATGGTGTTGCTTATGTTTCGTTGTGCTTCTCCCAGTATGAAATATAGACCTCTCCAGAGAGGTGGAGAGAAGGTGTGCATCCCAAATGGCACCCTATTCCATATATACCAGAGCCCTGGTCAAAAGTAGTGCATTATATAGGGAGTAGGGTACCATTTGAGACGGTTTGTCCTGAAGTCACACTATTTGGCTGTCATCAATTGTTTCATTGCATAGCCCTGGCTAGTATTGTGCTTCTTTAAGCATTTAACTAGAATTATTCTAGTTGATCAACTGCTTTCAAAAAATACATTTAGCAAAGCACAACCTATCATAACTCGCTATATTTCACAGGAAGATTTCTGTACCCAAATCCTGACCTATACCATCAGGACTTGAATAAGCAGAATTGGCCCTGCACCAGTGCTTCGCGGCATCCTCCTCCACACCTTCTGTTATCCACAGCACACCTTACCTTCCCTACCACCCTTGTGGTGTGTTGGAAGTTTTTCTAATGTTGTGCCTTCCAAGCTATAGCAACTAGCGAGTGGCAGCTTCCTCACTCCCAGAGATTCAGTGTGCTGTTCCTATAATTGCTTCTCAGCTTTGGCTCCAGTCAGGCTTTAAACTCGATCAAATATTCATGATAACCATTTGTGCTTAGTTGGTGTGAGTTTAGATTGGAGGAGACTAAAGAGATGGGTAAAGGAATGGAGTCATTTGTCACCGTGGTGAACACTTCAATTCAGAGTTTCAGAGAGGTCATTTTATATTTAACACATGATTTGTCATATTTGATACTACTACATAGCAAAATTAAAAGCGTCCGAAGATTGAATTAAGATCTGCCAGTA